TTTTGGGAAACTACCATTTCTCATCATCGCTTTGGGAGGTGCTGGTGCCCAGGTGGCACCGACAAAGCCAGGGTGTGTGGGATCCGTCGCGGAACAAATAAAACTTGCCCCAATGCTTCCCCAAAAAAAAAACTGAGAGATCTAAGGGATTCCAGCTTCTGGCCTTCTTTGCAGATTTTCAAGGTTTTTAGGATTTTCAGGAATTTACTCAAAGGCGGATTTTCTGAAAGTCTGAAAGTCTAAAAGCCATGTGTTCAGAATGAAGGGTTTCCAAGAGTTTGCAACATCGAAAAGGTCCAGCTTCTCTCAATCTGGTCACCTTGTCAAATTTTCCGGATATTATTTGGGTTAAGGAATTTGCACAAAGGCGGCCTTTCTTCAATTCATGAACAACTTGAGAATGCAGGCTTTTCCAATGCAGCACTTGAGCCAAAGGAACTTTGCTATTTCCACTTGCTTTTCCAAATGCCTGAACCCTGAGACCCAAAACGGACCCTGCGCTTCACAAGTCGTGCGCACAGATCAAGCAAACACCTTTTGAACGCTATGCACCTGCCATAATATTAATGACCCGTGCAGACCCTCGAGAAAGCCTCTGCGAGTGAAATGCCAGGATTTCTACGGCTTTGCCAATGAGGCTGTCGCCGCGCCGGTCCCTCCATTAAAAGTTGTTGAGCTTCAAGGGGTAGGGTTTAAGGTGAAGGTGTCCGCCAGACAATTCAGGGTGAAAAATTTGAGGGTATGGGCTCACCAAACTGCCAACTAGCATGGAACCCGAAAGGGGCCCTGTAGAGACCCAGATTTGCTGGGGGGGGGGGGGGGGGGNNCTGTGAATGCCATACAATGATTGGGGTCGTTGATAGTCTGCACATCCACTTGAGGAAAGGCGACCTGCTTGGCGCTCTGTATCTCTCCAGGCAAGCGTTGGAATGACCATGTCGTTTTCTGGGATTCGTCATGGATTCGTGGTTGCTTGCCCTAAGGCCTGAACCCACTGTAGTACTATGCTACTCGATCACTACACATCTGTGAAAAGCCCTCATTCATCCTGTATAACCATTATATATTCCTTATAACCCCTTTAAAGGTGCCATAGGTACCATATATAACCCCTATATATCTCCTATAAGCCCTTTGAAAGTACTCCTCTTACTCCATTGATCTAACCCTGACCCCAAACCCTGCATCATTCTCATCTGCATAAAGCTCTGCCATGTCGATCCTGAGCGGCTGAAGCCGCTAGATGTGAGGCCTTAAATAATGATAACAATAAGAATAACAACAACAATAGTGGCAGTAGTAGTAAGAGAACTAAGACTATAAATAATCATAATAGTATCAATACAAATAAGAAGACGAATAATAGTACCAATACTAATAACACTAAGGAGTAGTTCCCATATGGAATTTGTGGATCAGTATACTGCATGCTTTCGCGGTGATGCTGCTTCACGTGCAGCGGCATTCTAGGCCCGAAGCTCAGCTCACAAGCGGTGAGAAGTTTCAAGCTGCACGTCTGAAACCTATCTTCGAAGAGCCCGCTGCGCTTCGAAAGCGGAATTCATCCAAAACTCAAAGTTGCACGCCTCAGACACTAAATCTTTAATCCTCAAATCAAGTTCCTGCAACACTTCAACGATCTGCAACAAGGATAATAAAGCGCCTACCCCTCAGCCGGAACCTACCCGAATGCTCCAAAAAAACTTAACCCTCGACCCCCAATCTCGACAACAACTCAGCAATAAAATCCCAAACCCCCCAAACCCCCTAGATCTTAACCCTAAACCCTCCCAACCCCCACAAACCCTAAAATCCGAAACCCCAAATCCCAAAGCCCCGGCTTCTGAACCCGATGGACAGCCTGCCAGTCTCGTCAGCATCCTCGCAAGCCTGCGGGTAGCAAGGATACCAAGCGGGACTGGGGTGGGGAGTCTAGGAAGGTTTTACGTGCATGTATGCGTTTAAAAAATGTACATCCATAAGTACGAGAATCAACATAAGGTCTGAAGGCTTAGGGCTTATGGCGACGCAGCCACGCAGTTTTGAGGGCTTGTAGTTTAACCTGGGGACTATGTACATGATTCGACATGATTGTCCTTTGGGGCACTATTCTATCCCGAACCTCTGCGGTGGGAGAACATGTTTTTTTTTCGAAATGCCTTGCAGATAGCACCCTGATATTGTGCGTGCGCGTTGCGTCAATCATTCCGCAACCTGGTTGTTGTGTACAAGACCAGAATGCCGCTGAATACAACTAAAGCAATCTCAGCCAAAAAAAACGCGAATTCTGTGATCGTTTCCATTAAAGCGCTTGCCTATAAACCCGCTAGAATGCGGTTCATGCTAACAACTCTGAGGCAGCCGACCCTCAGAATAGTAGCAGTGAATTGTACTAAGATCTGATTTGCAACAGTAGTTGTAATAAAAGTTGTTATCTATAGCAACGGTTGTAGTAGCAGTTCCTTCAATGGGAAACAGTAGCATCAGGAATATTGATAGGTATAATCATACTGTCATACTCATAGAAGTACTTCTAGTCGTTGTAATCGCCGCTTGGGTGTTAGAAAGAATGACAGCGATGGTGACGATTGAGAACAATTCTAGCTCCAATACTTGTAACTGTGGTACTACTGCTGCTGCACGACCACGACGACAACGACGACGACGACGACGACGACGACTACTACTACTACGACTACGACTACGACTACGACTACGACGACTATTACTACGACTACGACTACGACGACGACTACTACTTCTGCTGCTGGCCAATATACTACCAGCAGGAATTCTACTAGTTCCAACAATTTTTGCAAAACCTTGTCAGGTGTCAATTGGAACCACCCTGTTGCATACTCTCACAGTAACGTTTTTAGTGCGTGAACTGAGTAAGATTACATTCATCTTACAAAAATGCCACAACCTCATCCACAAATGGAATACGTTTCTCAACCTGTGGAGCCTGGAGCTATGTTTGGATACAAAAGGGAATTGAAGGCTCCCCATTGGGGAGTATCTGAAAACAACTGTATTTTGAAAAAGTCTTGCATAACCTAACCCCTAAACATGATATCTAATCTTTCCGAAAACCCGACAAAACACACCTGCTTACGTACACACACACAGAGCAAACGTGTGAATTCAAAGCATATGCATATAGTCCTCTTGAGTAGATAGAATATGAGGTATATGAGGATCGCATTCTGATATACCCAAAGCCGTATTCTATCGACTTACCGGGGACTATATGTGTATATTGTTGTATGTATGTGCGTATGGCGTCTGTGTCGGACCGTCTGTCTGCATGTCTTATGGACACTTCAACTAAACAATCTCCTGATTTTTGAAAACACACAGCGCAAACAAGAATCCCAAAACTGCACATGCTGCCCTGTACAACCTTTAAAGGGCCCATGCGTACGTTGGGTATTACTACTGTTCTTATTACTATAATACTATGATTAGTATGACTATAGTACTAAAATAAAGCCTACACCCTAAACCCTAATTATTCGATTATTGCTACCCCCTCCCCCATTCCCCCCGACCGCAAGGTCGAGGGCCAAGGCTGCAAAAAAGGCATTCGTCTGCATGCTGGCCACCAGTTCAGTATGGAGGTTGGCATCCTGCTTGAGGGTTTAGGGGTTGAGGGTTGAGGTTTTAGGGTTTAGGGGTTTAGGAGTCTTACGGTTAAGGTTTTGCTTTGAGGTTTTCAGGTTTAGGGTGCAGAGTTGAGGGTTTAGAGTTGGGATTCCTTGCTTAGGGTAGGTTTTGTGTTGAACTACTATAATGGATAATCAAATGGAAAAAGATGGAGAAGCAACTACTATAATGGATAATCACATGGAAAAGAAAATGGAAAATTAAATGGAAACTGGGGTTATACAGGGCAGTATGTAAATTTTGAGTCTTTACGACCCATGTCCTCGTTCAGCAACATGAGACAGGGGACATGGGAGGTCTCAAAGAAGTGGGCCCTTACAGACCCTGGAAATGTGACAGGGATCATAAGGATCATCCTTGGGATTCTTTTGCTAAGCTTCCATATTGGATTGTACTACAGGGGCCTAAATAATTAGCAATATCATTTTGAGGTCCATTTGAGGTACCATATACTAGAATTATACAAGGAATATGGAACCATAACATTGGTAAGTACTTAGGCCCCTGTAGTACATACATGAGCGACCCTTCAGGTTATAAGCTATTTCGATCCCTTTGACCACCTGCCCCTACCAATTGACTCCAAAAGAATCGCACCTTTCTTGAGGCCGGCACACGTTTGTTTCAAAAAATATTGTCTTATATCCTGCTCCCCAAGGCCCAAACTTCAAGCACTAAATCCCAAACCAGAAGCCGTAAATCCTCGACCCCAAACTTTAAGCCTTAAACCCTAAACCCCAAAACAGCCGTACGGTTGTGCTCCTCCTTCTCAATGATGGTACAGATGACCCGGATGAGCTCCTATCATGGTGAACATGGTTTTCATCTGATTAACTCCTGTATAACTCGGCTGCTCAGCTCTGAGCCGTTGAGGCGTTGACCGTGACTACCTGTCTGTGATGAAGGGGTTGATCTGAAGAACCTTACCAGGAAGTTCTTCAAGAATCCTGTAGGCTGTAAGGGGAAATATAGGGGAATGCATTTTCCAGAATGGCCATTTAAAGAGCAGAATGTTGATCAACTATCACGCGTAGAGGCTAGGTCCTGGACCGACCCCTTCGAGATTCACTGGCAGCTGTCAGCAGTTTAGGGCGTAGGGTTTAGGACTACGGGAAGCGAAGCAATGCAAGGGTTGAGAATTCAGGGTTTGGAGGTGGACCCTAAACCCTAAACCCTAAACCCTAACTCCTGCGCAACCCCAGGTCCTTGGACCAAGCCCTCCACCAAGCATCACGGCTAAGACCCGAACCTCAAAAATCCTTGAAGCCAAGCCCTTCACAACAGCGCACCCTTGTCCCCAATTCAAGGGGCTTAGGGTTTGGGGATACCCCTGTGGATGAGAGCCCCTAACCCATAAACCCTGATTCTGAACCCTGAGCCTTTTCAAGATTTCAAGATTGTGCAGGAGCAGGCTGCAAAGTGCATACACATCAAAGACCCAGATAGAATTGGAGCTATGCGCTCTAGTGATAACCTTAAGCTATTGCAGTGATACGAATCAGCACGCGACGTTTCTGAAAGTCAAAGTACCATATGGACGCCTGGGACATGCGGGGATCAAAAATGGATTGTGGTTCCCTGTGACCCCATAATGGATTCTATAGATATAATTCTCAGCAATTCAGATCCTGAAATGAATGTGCTCAAACCCACAACCCACAGATGCTATCCAAGTTCATGAGCCCTATAGTCCCCTTAAGTAGATGCAATATGGCTTTGGGCATATTATAGTAAGATCCCCATATATCCCATATTCTGTCTACTTAAGGGGGACTATAAGCGCTCGTCCGTCCTCGCTTGGAACACCCTCCATTGTGGGAAGCGCTGCAAGACCAAGCATCAGCTCTGAGACCTTGAAGAGGTGAGCTTCAGGATTGAGGGTTTGGGGTTTAGGGTTTAGAAGTTGGGGGTTTGGAGAAATAATCTTGGTGTTAAGGTTTTGAAGCTCCAAAGTCTAGAGTCTGGCGTAGGCGGTTTTAGAGCTTCAAATTCTGGATGCGAGCTTGCAGGTCTTGGGCTGGGCCGGGCATAAGGTTTAGGAAATCTAGAGATATGGGGGGTGTCCCAAAATTAGGGGGTACCCTTTTGGGGGTCCCCATAATAAGGATTATAGTATTCTGAGGTCTATATTGGGGTTCCCCTAATTTTGGAAAACTACCATATGTATCTAACGCAGCGAGTACAGCCAATAAAGCGATGGCTAGGGTCGAACCCCGAACAATCCCCATTGTACCCGATGGATGGATTGGCGTGCTGGGTTGGGAGCTGCCACGTGTGTTGATGAAGCCAACTCCATCCCTAGTAACGAATATGTCTCGGGCATATCAGAGGGTGTGATTAGAGAAGTTTTAAGGGTTTCTGGAACTTGGGGAGCCAGAAAGCACAATTCAGCTTAATTGAGGAATGTACCCAAATGATACTGGAACCTCGAATATGATCCTTGAGTGAAGGGAATCAGGCTCGCTGGGCAAGAGCCATGGATGCAGGTTTAAGGCTGAAAATTTGGGATGCTGGTCGGTTGTGGAAAGAAAGGAATGGAAATTACGATTTCAGGGTTTAAGACATGGATAAGACAATTAACCTACTATATAGGGTTTGGGTTTGAAGTGGTGCCTTTCATTGCGAAGGTATACTTATGGCTTGCGGTCTGTGAGGCCGGAAGTCGTAGATCCTCCCGGTATCCAAGATGCGAGCATCAAGATAACAAAACACATAAAATCAGGATTGGAGTATGCGGGTCTATGTTATTGGGGTTCCCCATTCATGGAAACCCCATGTGGGTTACGGGAAAAAATGGAGCAAAGGACCTGCAGCCGGTTTGGGTTGAAACCACATTCACGCTGACACAAGGGTGGTTGTCAAAATTATGATCCCTTTTTGGGTACCCTAAATATTAGGTGCCGTGTTATCATAGGGATCATACTAGTATATAGGGCCCTTATGAAACCAATTAGGGTAAATATCTAAGGATTCCAAAGGCCAACCCGGCAAGGATGACCTTGAGACACTTTTAGGGTTTAGGGTTTAGGCTTTAGGGTTTAGGGTTTAGGGTCGAATGAAAACCAACGGGTTGGCACCATCTGCTGGCTCCCTTGCTCTGAACCTCCTTCAGCCATGGTTCATAGTAGTTTCCATTTCGTTTTCCATTGTCCCTATATAACCCATATAAACCCCGTATGACCCTAAGCCCTAAGCAAAACGAAGCTAAGACTCATCCAGAGAGGCTGGCTATAGACTGAGGCGGGAGACTCGTCCTAAGCCAAATCGCTAAACAACGCTGAGCCCCTAAGCCCTTCACCATCCTGCTCCAGGCCGAACCCTCAAGTCTCAAGCATGCTCATTACAACTACCAGGTTCGGAAGGGGGAGTGGCTCAAGGGTTGGTAGGTAAGTATTCCCCAATACTCCCTGATTCCCCCCTCGTAGTCGCAAGCCTCCCTACGATTCCCTCATCTTTCTGAAGGTTCCCTGACGTTCTTGGACCCACACCCCTGAATACCAGGATGAATGGAAATATCATAAGCCCGAATCTCGACGCCAAAGCACGCCCTTGCGGGGTTCTCAATCACCCGACCATCCGAAACGCAAGCCATCCCACATCAGGATTTGCCATCTTCGTGCACTTCGAACAGAGTCATCGGATCAACGAGATGTATCCAAACAAGCGTCAGACACCCAGTATTACTGAGACTTAAAAACAGATCACTCTATAGGGAATCAGATTCTCCTCATCGAGCTCTGCACCCATCTGGAGTCATACCATGGGTTCAGCCCATTATGGGAGATAAACATCCAGGCTTTGGGAACATGTTCAACTCCACCCCATCTAGTTGGAGTCATGTAGAAAATACCAGATGCTGCAGCGACCTTGTCAGAATCATGCTAGTCTCCACAGAGCTACCACCACAACGACTCTTTCTCAACTACATTCAGGATCCCCGCCATGTGGACAGTCAAGTCTTCTTGTCCTTGGAGAAGCGTTTGCGGGAAGTAGTCATGCAGGGATTCTGGAGGAATCGCATCATGGTTACGTGAAGATTTGATTTATGCAGTGTCGCTCATGATTCACGTGCTCACAGCAGGCGGCGCATTCAACTACCGCCCGGAAGAGCAAGGAAGGAGACGAAGAGACAGAAGACCGAACACTCCACTCTCTTTCGCCTACAAACTGTGGCAACACTGCCCACCGGCACAGTGGTTTCTATGAGGTCCACATCCACTCTGGCTGGTCGGGGGGTATAAAGGGTCCCCGATCGTAGATCCCCAAATAATCTCATACTTACTATAAGGACAGCAACATGGGCATCCTGATTTTCGGAAAGCCCCAACTACCTCAGCCGTTTCCAGGAAGCCCTCTACTTGCGGCATTACGGCTTATGGCAGATCGTTTTACCCTTTTGTGGAACCATACCTTCATGGAACCCTGTATAACTCCCATTTCGAAGCACAACAATGTGCAAATGGCCCTTGGGGGGGTGACCCCGGACCCTAAATCTTAACCCTAGACCCCAGACCCTAAGCCCTCAACTTAAAGTCATGGGCCCCCTTTCCCCCTTCTAGACCCCCACCGGTTCCCTGGTTAAGTAGCCTTAATGCTTTAATTCTCCTGAAAAACGCGAATGAAGGGAACCTAAGGCTAAACCAAAAACTAGCTTGTCTTTCTGCCCTCTAGTCTGATGATCTTATCATAACTGCAAAACGTCACAAGAAGCAGGATTGGGACCATTTGCTGTACAAACCACCATACCGCATGAGGTCGGTTGCAACCCTTGTTCCTAAACTACTAAGGCCTCTCCCCCGGGGGCAGAGGAACATGGGCGCAGCCACCACCTAGATGAGGTCTGCCTTTCGGGAAAAAGCAGACACCGCCCTTGATCCTCACCCTGCGCAGTCGCACTACTGCAACTCTTGGTCGCGGCTCCAATCTATGGTCAACTGGTCGACGGGGCCACAAACAGGACGAAGGCCCGCCAACATGGCCAGCAAGGGCAGCAGCCCACCAGGACAAGGGCTGCCGGTGCAACCTCAAAACCCGTGCCAGCTCCGCAAGGCCATGGCCAAAGGATACGATTATGATCACCGAGTTATTTTTGGGTCTAGGGCAAAGGCCACAGGCCCACTATGGCAAAGGTTTGCCAGGTTGATGATCCACAAATGGGTCAATCATTTTGGGGGGATGGCTTGTTCGGGTTACAACAGAAATTCCAGGGGTGCCAGGGCAAAGGCCCGCCAGGGTAAACGGGAACACAAACGGAAGACCAGGCCCTTACGTCTTCTTTATGAAGGCGATCAAGATCCTCTCTACGTCCAGCGCGGGCCTGCTAGGGACGTTCGTCTACGTTAAAAGAAGCGCAAAAACCCAGGGTGCACATGCCTAAACCACCGAAAGGTGCAAGGGTTTGGGGTGTGATCAACAGAACAAAGCGACTGACCCCCCCTCCACTCTTTGGTCAGGTCGCGCCATGGCACGGTCGGGGCGTGGCACTTGCAATCCCCTAAACCTAAAAAAATCTAAACCATCTCATCTAAGCATCGCTGTAGAATCAACCTGGCACCAGTCCCGAAGAGCTCCACCAGGCTACCATCCTACCGGGCGAAGCTGACAGGGCAGAGCCTCCCTTTGAAGAGTGCTTATAGAAGGACATACCATGTCATGAAAGGAGTATCTGGGAGTTATAACTGGTAGGAGAAATAGGGCGACATATAGCGGAAAGGATTAGTCGTACCAACTACAAATGGGTGGTTGTCAAAATTATGGTCCCTTTTTGGATCCCCATAATAATACGGCACCTAATTTTTAGGGTACCCAAAAAGGGACCATCATTTTGACAACCACCCAAATAAATAAAGCAGTGACAACAGAACAGGAACCTCGGGACCACATTGCAAAGCCCCGCAGGGTCACCCAATGAACCAAATGGCAAGGTCGCAAACAAGCCCCATCTGACTCAGCCAAATAAGGCAGAGGTATTCCTAAACAAAACTCTTGCTCATGTGCCTCCTGAGGTCTGGGCCTGACTTTTGCTGAACTATTTGCATTCGTACAGCTGCATTTGGAAACACTCCAAAAATTGTAGCCCACACCCGGACACCCCAAACATATGTCTAAATCCAATAAGCCTGAATCGCGATCAGCGTTCCAATATGTTCAAATTACCATCCTAGACCCGAAAACCTAAACTCTTGACTAGACAAAAAAGGGCTCAAGCACTCGAGGTAAGACTTAGCTCAGGTGTGGTTTGAGCACGCTATGAGCCACATGAGCCACTTCAAGGAGAATTGTGCTGTCTGAAGCACTGGTGCAGGGCTTACTCGGGTGATTGCAAGGAAAAGCCGGCGCAGCCCTTTGGATTCAGCATCCGTAAACCCTGAACTCTTTTTAGGGCTTGGGTTAAAGAGAACGGGAGCCCCTGAGTCCGTCCCTTGCCCTCTGCAAGGGTATATGGTTCAGGGCTGAGGACGTATTGTTTAGGATATGGGAGTTTCTCAGAAGGGAGGCCCATAGGGACCACGTGGTTATATAGGAGTACACGGAATTCTGGGGACTACGCGGAAAGAGCAATTTCAAGTTTGGCGGCCCTGAACCACATCGCCACCAGCTAAACCCTTTGCATCCATTCAGCATCAGGTATCTCAGAAGGGGCCCGTGATTCGGAGAGCCCATATATCAGTAAGCCTTTCATGAGGGCCTCATGAAACCCTAAACCCTAAACTTAAGCCATTTCTTCAGACTATATGGACAAATATCCTCAACTTTAAGGGAGCGAGCTTCCAGCGAATGGGCCTCATGAACTTCGCAATTCAGCAAAAGGTGCCGAAGAGAACCTCAAACGTGCATTTG